TTTGCTTGGCTCCATAGTCAACACTCTTGGCACCAGTAGCCAGGAAATTAAAAGGCACATTGCCAAGGGAAAGTCTGCTGTTAGGGACCTCTCCAAAGTACTGAAGAGCAATGGTGTCTCTTTGGAGACTAAGGTGAGTCTGATGCAGGCCATGGTCTTGCAATCACTTGTTATGCATCAGAGAGTTGGACAATGACTAGGGAGGATAGAAGGAGAATTGATGCCTTTGAGCTGTGGTACTGGAGAAGAGTATTGAGAATACCATGGACTGTTAGGAAAACAGATTTGTCCTTCAAAGGGTTAAACCGGGTGGCTCCTTGGAGGCAAGGATTCTGAGGCTCTGTCTAATATACTTGGGACATGTTGTGAGGAGAGACCGGTCCTTGGAGAAGGACATCATGCTTGGGAGGGTGGAGGGACAGCGCAGGAGGGGAAGGCCCTCTATGAGGTGGGTTGATTCAGTGACTGGGGTAATCTGGATGGGAGTGTCAGAGACAGTGCGATTGGCACAGGACAAAGCAGAGTTTAGGGCTGTTGTACATAGGGTCGCAAGCGACTCAACGGCACATAACAACAACAACAGCACAGTGTTGGTGGCTCAAACCTACCCATTGGTGTCTTGGAAGAAAGTAATAGCAAACTATTTTGAAAAGATCACAGCCCTTGGAGACACATTCAGGAAACTATTGAAAAGACAATTCTACTCTGATGCAAATGAGGTCGCTATAAGTTGGAGCCAACTTGATGACAAGTAGTTTGGTTTCCATAGAACTTATCTCTTGAGATTCTACCACATGCTAGTGAAATGATTTATATACCTTCAGGGGTTTTGGGGTGTGTGTGTATGTGTGTATGTATGTGTGTGTGTTTTGGTTGTTGTTGTTGAATGTAGAGTGCAACATTTGAGCAAGCATGAGCTTTGGATCAGGTGGACCTAGGTCTGTTTCGAAGTTAAATACCTTACTTCTTATGTGACCCTGGAAACCAGCATTCTTCCCTGTTGACCCCTCATTCCTCCACTGATAACACAGGGATACTGCTATGTAGAACATTATATTAAGTGAATTTTGTGCTTGATACATATGAAGTGCCCAATAAAGGTAGATAATAAAAATATAATATAATAATCTATATAAAAATAATTTATTTTTATCTACCACATGTCTGCTAGTTGCCATGATATTGAAAACTGTAGCCAGTTTATCTACCACATGTCTGCTAGTTGCCATGATATTGAAAACTGTAGCCAATTTATCTACCACATGTCTGCTAGTTGCCATGATATTGAAAACTGTAGCCAGCTCAATGGTAAAAGCCCACAGTGTTGCTATTATAGCTGTCCAGGAGAAGGTTTCATTTATTTATCTTTCTAATGAACTCCTTTCTCTCTTTTGGGTGTCCTTGGTGAGATCAGTAGTCATGTGACCACAAGGAAAGGAAAAAAAATATTCTGTCTGTCATCCACAATTATTGTGGCTAAATAATTTATCAGGCAAAAAAAATTTTATCAGGCAATTTGATAGTCATTTAAAAAGAATTTTTGCATTATTTTATTTGCTCCAAGAAATCTGTATGCAGTATGCATTTAAAAATTAAATTGCCTGGGTGGGGAGAAGGGTGCAACAATGAATGAATGGAATTTCAAAATCTCTGTAGATGTTCATTGAAATGAAAAAGAAATAAATTTTTAAAAAAGTGAGAGAACAGTGATAGCAGGATAACACTTGCGTTAGGAATAATAACCAGCACTATGAACAAAACCCTTATTGCAGCTTTTATGCTTTCGTCCATATTGAAATTCTCTCTTACTTCATCCCTTGGGAAGTGTGCTGAATATTTCATTAAAGTGATTGGTGTGGGAAGGAAGAGATAAAGATAGGGGGACAAAGAATATGATGACGAGAAACATAGACAAAAGATTCAGAAATGGGAGATAACCTACAACCAGGAGAAGATAACATAGATGAATGGGATCTTCTAAGACTCAAATCCCTATGCACATCCAAAAACTTCTCCAATAGGGTAAAAAGGGAGGCCACTGACACTGGGAAAAAGTATTCGGTAATAACATATCAGATAAGGGACTTA